TGATATCCATCGCCTTAACCTCTGTGCTACCTGAGAGTCCATCAAAGAATTCTAGCTATGCGCCAGCAGGTAGCGTAGTGGCTAAGGTGCTGGACTCTCACATGGCTGACTACAGTTCAAGTCCCGGACCTGGAGGCTTGAAACTCACACACCTGAGTGCATGCCCGAGAGCCTGAGAAGAGAATGAAGGAGAAGGGATTTTCCTTGGGGGAGGGGGAGCCAGCAGATGGTGAAATGGTTATGTCTGGACTCCCACATACTCGAGTTCGTGTCCCAGACATGGTGGCTTGGAACTCATGCTGGGCACGTGTGTATGCAGGCCCCAAACCCCAAGAAGAGAATGGAAAAGGGATTGTGGCATGGCTATCCTACCTGGCGGGTGATTTCTCACTTTCTCTCTCTCTCTGTCTTACTGGCAAACTCACATGCCCTATTGCAAAAAATCTCTCTTAAAAAAAAAAAAAGAAGGACCAGGAGGTGGCGTGGTGGCTGAGGCGTTGGACACTCCCACATGGCTGACTAGAGTTCGAGTCCTGAATCTGGTGGCTTGGTTTCTCACTTCCTCTATCTCTCTCACCCTCTGTCTCTCTCTGGTCAAATTAAAAAAAAAAATCAATGAATGAATAAATAAAATAAAATAAATAATAATTAAAAAAAATTCTGGAACCAGCAGTTGGTGTAATGGTTATGTTACTGGGCTCTCATGTAGTCGACTGTGGTTCAAGTCCTGGACCCGGTGGCTTAAACTCACGCTTGGTGCATGTGCGTGCGTGCCCAAGATCCTGAGAAGAGAATGGAGGAGAAGGGATTGCGGCATGGCCATGCCCCCTGGGGGGTGATTTCTCGCTTTCTGTCTCTCTCTTTCCGGTGAGCGCATGCACCCTATAGCAAAAACCTCACCCCCCCCCAAAAAAAAAAATTCTAGGTCTTTGTCTAGTTCTCATCCCAGCAGAAGAATCACGCCCCATTGGGCATGCTGCTAGGAGCGAAGTCTGTCCATGCTTCCCCAGACTCAAGCCCTCTGAACTGCAGCCTCTTAGAACATCTTTCTTAGCTTTTTGATCACACTCTGAAACTATGCATTATTAGTATAATGTTACTGTAGTGTGTTTATGACTGCTTACGAAATCGCTGGGCATAGCAGTAAGCGTTTTCCACGAGCAGCTCATTTGCCTCCAACGCAGTGCTTTACTTGGGCTTGAATATGATTATTGTGGCAGTTTATGGGTGGAGAAACTGAGGGCACTAAGTTGAGTGACCCGTGTTAAGTCCCATGGTTATTTGGAAAAGAAACATGCATATCTTTTTTTTTTTTTTTTTTTGAGAGGTTTTTGCTATAGGGCGCGTGCGCTCGCCAGACAGACAGAGAGAGACAGAGAGATAGAAAGCAGGAAATCACCCCCCAGGAGGGATGGCCACGCCGCAATCCCTTCTCCTCCATTCTCCCCTCGGGATCTTGGGCACGCACGCATACGCGCCCGGCGTGAGTTTAAGCCACCGGGTCCGGGACTCGAACTGCGATCGACTACGTGGGAGTCCAGCGACATAGCCATTACGCCAACTGCTGGTCCCAAGAAACATGCATATCTTTTTAACTGACAGAGGGCTCGTATGCTCGCAGAGAGGGAGAAAGCGCCCCCGATGGGCCATGGTCACATTGCCATCCATCCTCCTCCTTTTCCCCATCCTGTTGGGATCTTGGGCACACACAGGCATGTTTTTCAAGCTGCCAGGGCTGGGATTCGAACTGCAATGGTCACGCTGGATCTGGATCCCTTAACAACTAGGCAACAGGGCCAGCTCGAAACAGAGACAAGTTTGCACTCCGGTTTTCCGTCAGCAGCTTCTTCCCACTCAGAGTCCCTGCTCATTACAGACAGGGAGACACGGAGACCCTGGGGAAGCTGGGCTTTTCTGATGGCGGGGCGGAAAGGGACAGGTGGGGTCTAGGCTGGGAGGTGGGTTAGCCAACACAGAGGGACACAGAGAGAATGCTGGGAAAGCTCTGCCCGGTTGGGCCTGGACACCAGCTTAGCGTGACCAGGCAGCACAGAGACAGGGAGAACCACCTGAGACAGACTCTTCTGAACGACTCCCATGGGACCAGCAGTTGGCGTAATGGCTATGTCGCTGGACTCCCATGTAGTCGACTACGGTTTGAGTCCCGGACCTGGTGGCTTAAACTCATGCCCGGCATGTGTGTGCGCATGCCCAAGATCCCGAGAGGAGAATGGAGAAGGGATTATGGCGTGACAATCACCAGTTACCCCTGGGGGGGTGATTCCTCGCTTTCTGTCTCTCTCTCTGTTTTTCTGGCGAGTGCACGTGCCTTATAGGAAAAAATCTTAAAAAAAAAAAAAAAAAAAAAGGAAAAGAAAGACTCCCACAGATGGGAGCCAGCAAGTGGCATGGTGGATAAAGGCTCTGGGTTCCCACATGGCCGACCATGGTTTGAGTCCCGGACCTCTTGGCTTGCTTTCTCATTTTCCCTTTCTCTCTCTGGTCAAATTAAAAAATAACAAATGAAATTAAATAAATAATATTAAAAAAAAACAACAACAACAAAAGACTCGATGGGGGCCAGGCCCAGAGGCTGGAGTCCTTTGAGGGCAGCTCTGGATTTGTAATCCAGCCCTAGGGGCCTGTTTTTTTCTGGGTATAACTTTATTTTTTATTTTATTTTGTTTTATTTTTGCTATCTAGTGATTGTGTTCACCAGAGAGAGAGAAAGACAGAGAGAGAGAGGAAGTGAGAAGGGGCCCCTGGGGAGATGGCCATGTTACCATCCCTTCTCCATTCTCTTCTTGGGATTTTGGGCACACGTGCACACCCACCAGGTGTGATTTTTAAGCTGCTGGGCCTGGGACTGGAACCATGCAGTCGGCCATGTGAGATCCAGCACCTTAACCACCATGCCACCAGCTGGCCCTGGGTGCAGCTTTGAGGGCTGCCTCTGGCCAGTGACTCCCACCTTCTCCCGGCCACAGGGGAGAGGAGCCGTGGAGACTGCGCTGAGAGCACAGAGGAGGCCAGGGGACAGCAGGCCCGTCCTGGTCTCTCCTCCATTTCCTCGCTGTGACGTCCCAGGTGATCTTCCTGAGTCTTGATTCTCTTTTCTTCTTCTTCTTTTCTTTATTTTTTTAAGAGAGATTTTTGCTACAGGGCACGTGCACTTGCCAGTGACAGAGAGATAGAAAGTGAGAAATCACCCCCTAGGGGAGACAGCAACGCTGCAATCCCTCCTCAGTTCTCCTGGCAGGATCTTGGGCACGCATATGGGTGCTCGGAGCGAGTTTAAAGCCGCTGGGTTCAGGACTTGAACTGTGACCAACCACATGAGAGTTCAGTGGCGTAATCTTTCTGCTCTCTGCTGTTCCGGCCTTGATTCTTCTTATGTGCCAGATGGAGCTAGTAGGGTCCTTACATGGATTGCTGAAGGGTGGAGGTAACACGTCAGTACACGTGTGACACGCGAAACACGCAGACAGTAGCTGGTAGATAGTTCGCCACAAATCAGTCCCGTGCGTTTTGGTTCATGTTCCCAAAGCGCCTTCGCTCTGCCTTTCAAATCCTTCCCACTCGAGAAAGCCAATGATCGTCTAAACCACAACGGAAATGTGGAAGCCACCCAGAGCGCAGGTAAGAGCAAGGCCTTGGACCCAGGCTGCAGCCCTGCTTCCTGTAACCTTGGGCGGGCCGATGACCTCATCCTTTATTCCCTCATTTCGGTGGGAAGAAGCTGGTTCCCCCTCATGGTAAGACACCAAGGGGGAAGTGAGCGAGTATTTGTCGGCAGCGGAAACGCCAGCCGCTTTCCAAGGGCTCGCTAAACACGTTTCTAGGATCCCTGTGCAACGGCGGCGCCCAGCGCCACGTCAGCCGTTCACACGTGGCCTCATTAGCTCAGCCCATCTTCCACCCTGTGGAACCCTGCGTGGCTCAGGTTGGGCATCGTTCAAGGGACAAGCCTGAAATGAGTGCCGCACAGGTACAAACCGCTGAGCGGGGCTAGGAGAGGAGGCGGCAGCGACGTGAATTGGCTCTTTGCTGACGTTTGCAGGGGCCTAGAGTTTGCTTCATGTGGAGGCCCAGGAAACACTACTGCAGGCTTGGGAGCAGCTGTAGGTAGGGAGGCTGTAGGTCAAAGAAGGGAATAGACAGCATTTGGTAGATAAAGAGCAGGGCTTTGGGCTCGGCAGCGTTTCCTGCTCTGTAAAACAGGGCTTAATGCTGTCCTACTGGGGCCAAGCCCGTTGCCTAGCAGTTAAGGTGGCCGGATCCCACACGGTTTGAGTCCCGTCCTGGTGGCTTGAGAAACAAGCTGGCCACATGCGTGTACGTGACCCCAGATCGCCCCGGATGGCGAAACTAAGAAGGGACTGCAGAGTGACACTGCCTCACTAGGAGGAGCTTTCTCTTTCCGGCGAGTGCACGCGCCCCCTAGCAAGTTACAAAGTATCCTCCTGAAATGATATTTATTGAGCATTTCCAGGCAGATGGTACAGGTAACTATGTATTTATTACGTCCATCTTGCAGACTAGGATCAGAGGTCTGGCAAGTTATCCAAAGATACAAAGCAAATCAAGTTGACAGTGAAGATTCGAACACAGGAACGCAAGCCAAAATGCATATATGTGGGACCGTGGCCCGGCGGAACTAAGGAGCCGTTCAGATGATAAAGGTCACTTCATTACACCTAGGCGTTGTAATCCCGTGCAGCCGCCCCGAGGCCCCGCCGCCCTCGGCGCGTTTACGTGCGCTCCGTGACCGTCTCAGCAGCCACATGGAGGACGCATGCGCCCCCTCCCCTCTGCGGCCGCCTCGCCCGAGTTGGGCGCATGCGCACAACTGGCGGGCAGAGGGCGGTCCCGAGCGAGTGGAAAGATTTAGGTGAGAAAGTGAGCGGGGCCGGGCGCT